GTATCTAGCTCGTGGCTTATCGACTTCTTGAGAAGAATTCTAAGAAGAAAGTAAACCTACAGACATCGGTCTTGTTTAACAAAATCTGCCAACAATGTAATTGTAAACATAATGTAGGACTTATACAGAGTTACGTAACAAAAATTTGACACAACTAACACTTTTAAAACAACAACCTTCCATACTACTGTCATGAAAACTAAATAATCATTAAATATTAACTCACAAAATAAATTAAATAACATTTCCTACAGCAAACAGTCTTGAATATTCAATGTTGAGAATGTACATGTGTAACCTAGTAATCTGTAGCAAAGGTAATTGTACATGTGTAACCCAGTAATCTGTAGCAAAAGTAATTTACAGGTGCACAACCTGGAAGAGCCAAGCTCCAATTGGATTGCAGCTAAGGGATGGTTCCAGAAACAATTTTCTCCAAAGACACAGGACAGTTAATTCTTGGAGAAAGGGGAACATCAGATAATAACAGGAGGACTAGAAACAAGAGAGAGGCTGACCTCACGAGGCTGTAGAAGACAAAAACCTTGATGGTAACCCCTAGTCCAGAAAAGCAAGAAACCAAAGTGCACAGAAATGGTTTCTGGTGAGCTGCATCAGCTTAAGATTCCAGAGCATAAAAAGTGCTTCCAAAAACCTTATCTTAAAGGTTGTGTGCAACATGGAGGTTCATTGGGGAAGACTGTAGAAGGCGAATATTAGAAAATGAAGCAGCCTGACGAAATACATCCTAGAAACAAACAAACCAAAAAACAATTAAGAAGAAAATCAAGGTCAAAATGAAAAACGTATTTTGCTATGTTTTTCCAGGAAAGCTGACAGGATCAGGATGTAAATAAAGCCTCTAAAATATGTGAAACATGTCCAAGTTATGAAGAAATTGAGCAATAAATGAAGAAAAGTAGATTAGGAGTGAGAGAGAAAGAGATATCCTCTAGTTGAAAGAAGAGATTCGAGTTATTGAGGCTCATGAAATAAAGTAGTTAGAGATTCAGCAAAATACAACAGGAGAAAGAGAAAACAAAAGACATGTAACAAAGGTGGTGTTACCTGATCCTTGCTGGACGAGGGAACCAGAAAAAAAAGCAGGTGTAGGTATAGTTGTATAAATTCATTTAAAGATGGGGCAGACTCAACTGAATTAACAGAAGCAGGGCGTCAGAAACCCTGGATCTCAGATGAAAATGGAACAAACCACCTGATGCATAATACATCACTAACATCAGTAACATCACTAACCATCAGAGTGCCTCCAACTGTCATGCCAGTAGAGAATGACTCCTTTTGATGAGTTTCAGCACCTTGGAGATGTCAGAAACGTGGAAACATGAATTCTTAATTCAAGTTATTCATAGAACCAATTTATGTTTAGATAAAATTTGGCCTGATCCAATGAGAAAATTATAGAGCACTTAAAAAACCCGCAATGGGTTAAAACAATGGGAAATACTCTTGTCAAAGAAACCTTATCACCAATAATGAAACATCCTAAAATTGCAAACCTGATTACAGAGGGAAAGTGTAATTTAAGATAATGCAAATAAATGTTTAACTAAAATTTTATTATTTGGTATCTTTTTTTTTTCTCATATCAAGAAAGTAAAAGAAAGAATGACTATGAATTAGTTTGTTTGTTTGAATTGATGCACAAAGCTACACAATGGGCTATCTGTGCTCTGCCCACCACGGGTATCGAAACCCGGTTTCTAGCGTTGTAAGTCCGTAGACATACCGCTGTGTCACTGGAGGACGTCTACGAATTAGAATAAAAGATTAAAATAATAATCACAAAAAATTCGTAATTATTAAGAAAAAATACGTCTGAATAAAGCAGTACTAAAGAAAAAAATGATGCCAGTGCTTATGGGGCTTGCTGTACTTTGAGGATGTGTCACCTTCGTATTGATGAAGAGCTATAATCTAATAATGGTTATATTATAAGCTGATGCAGCCGACGTTAATATGTGTGGGGATGAAAGTTTCGTTCAAGGCTTGTGGCATGCACAAAAACTTTCTCATCAGTAGTTTGAGATAAATCAGGTAATATATTATTAGAGAGTCTGGATCAGTTGTTATGACCTTTATACGTAGAAAAAAAAGGTTGTTATTTAGTGGGAAGTTGATCAGGGCTTGATATTTCAATCAGTTAAGGTTAGATCTGTTGATATGTAAAATTTTAATAGTTATTGTAGTATTTTGTGATTTTTTAAATAATGTTATAAACTAAAATAAGCTTAAATTGCATGTTTACTACACAGAAATGTTTGATAGTTATTGTTAGTTTGTATTAAACGTTTTTGACAATTTTATTACAAAAGTGATAAATCAAGTAGTTTTCAACTCATAGAACTTCATGTGACTGGATGTACTAAATTTGTTAATCTTTTACTTGAAACAGTTATTGAATTTATAACTGGCCAGTTTCTCCATTTCTAGATGAGACACCATAAACAATGGTAGTTAGGGTGATTGGCTAAACTTGCAGAGAAGTTTACTGTACAGTGTGTTTTCAGTGCTTTAATTTAGATATTGGTTTTCTAGAGGGAGCTGTTAATCATGATGGTGATGAAATATCTAGAAAGTTCATGAATGCTAAAAATCTAAAAGCTTCTTCTAATATGCAAAAGCAAGAGTACATTATAAATACAAGAGTCGTTGAAGCAATATCTCAATGAAAGTTATTGATAATTAATTAGTAATTCAATGTCAGAAATGTTAGAAATGAGAGTTATAAAAGAGTTAGGCATAGGTATCATTATTCTCAGAACTGCTGCTGCAACCTTGTTTGTGAACTTAGGCCTACAACTTGTGTCAAAGTGAACGAAAGCCGTAGTAAACGTTATAATAAATAAATTAATTTGTTAGCATTACGTGAACTATACTTGGTACAATACGTACCAAATAATCCGAAATAACTCACACAATGAAAGAAAAAGTTGCAGCAGTGATACAGAAGTGGGATTATTTTGGTGAATATGAAATAGAACTTTGATTAAATTTCAAAATGACAACTCGGGCAGAAAGCGAGATCGAAATTCTATTAGAGATGATGAAATAATTAAAAGAAGGTCAAGAATATAAGAGATAGAAAACTAAAAGAAGAACAAGAAGAAATTGTCAGAAAATAAAAGGTGAAGAAAAACAGACAGAAAATTAAAAAAGACCGAAACAAAAGAGGCAGAAAATTAAAATAAGATAAAGACAAATAGGGTAGAAAAATAAAAGAATAACAAAAATAAATTTATAGAAAATTAAAAGAAGATGAAGAGGTAATATAAAGAAATTTAAGAGAATAATTAAAATGTATTTGTTTGTCGAATTTTGTGCAAAGTTATACGAAAGTTATCTGTGTTAAACGTTTCTGATTTAACCGCAAAATGTTTGGCTACCCTTGTCTGAATGAATAGTGGGATTTGGTAGTTGCCTTTTAACGCACCTAGTATAGTTTGAGTTAGTTTTGAGGTGAGGAGAGCTGCAATAAATATATAATATCATCATGTTGTTAAGGGTCTTTAGTTTTTTACTGATGGAAGCCATTTTTCATATGTATAAGTTGTGTACAAGTTATATGTGGCTATTGTGTTTGCTTTATGTATAATGAGAATGACTAAGTAAGATACATACAAATTTAAAGTACATGTTTCAACACTTTGTTTTCCGACAATCATCTGTACTAAAAGGAAATATTTTATCTTTCAGGTTGGACCAGCTGGTAAAAAAAGTCGTCTATTGTTAGCAATGTCATCATCTTTAGAATTACGAGACCATCTTACAACTTTCAGTGAACTATATGCTTCACTGGGTAAGTATATTTTCTCTGCGTTGTGGTTTGTTAGTGTAATCCAGTTTAATGCTGCGTAGTATAGGAATTGATGAAAAGAACACTTTGAAACAATGCATTTTTTCACTCTTACATTGTATAAACACAGCTCAAATAGAACGTTTTGTTTTGTTTATAAACATAATATTATAGTGGTTTTACGAAATAAGCTTATGAGTGTAAATAGTTTGCACAGCTTTATTAATTTTCTTGTTAGAAAAAATATGTGATTTTCTTTGAACTGCCAAGAATTCTGATTTGTTCATTTTTTACTTGAAAATATATGCTTAAAATTTAATTACCAATTTCTTTATCATATACACATACGCAAAGGAGAGGGTTCGATTGAATTCCCTATTTTGTGATGTGAGAAAAATTATGACTATATAATTATAGAGCAGGTGCTTATGGTATTTAACGTTTTCTACATTGTCTACATTTTTTGCTGATTGTGCTTTGCATAATATGTGTTGGCGTTTGGTCTCACAAATTAGAATACCCTTTCAAACATTCTGCTTACGGGCCTGTATCAAAAACTATTTATTCTTTCTAGTTGCAAAATAATAATAAATATATAAATAATCTTTGAAGTTATTTGCCTTTATTTCACTTAATTTCTGACTACAAATTAATTTTTTATGTAATTCTTCTAAAATATCAACTTATTCATTAACAGTAAATTCTAATCAAATTATAACAATACATATTATAATTTAAAGTAACTTGTAAACCTAAGTTAATAGAGCCTATCCTGTATAAGAAACTCATTAAAAGTAGAACTTAATATTAAGTAAACAAAAAACTAGATCCTATATTAACTCATTGATATATAGATATTAATAGTTTTCAAACAAGACCCAAAACTCGAGCGCTTTCCAACAGTTCACTATTCTTCTTCAGGAGAATATTCCCTTTATTCTCCTGAAGAAGAATAGTGAACTGTTGGAA